TTCAGAAGAAATGTGAAAATTCCTGCTTTTTGAAGTTTAATCTCCCGCAAGACAGGGTAGGAGGCTGCATGCAAATGCAGAAATTTGCTTCAGCTTTGCTTCTTATTGCTGCTGATGAAAGCTGAGTGTTTTAGTGTCTGAGGACAGTCGGCACCTCTCAACAAACAGAAAGATTCTTGCCTCCCAGTTTTCTAAATGAGCAAACGTGCAGCATCTGGTTAAAGGGCTGAAACTACAGCTAGATGCGATTTTAACCTCTCGTGTCTGTACTCAATCTATTGTGTCACATTTGTTAATCCATTCAAGGCATCTCGCACACTAACGGAGCCAGCATAAGCACATTTGGGTCCTGTTTGCAGTGTCGACATTGACAGGATTACAGATTAGGGATTACATTTGCATCCTTCTCCCCACGGTTAACCTTGACCCCGCTGAATCATTTCAGCAGTCAAGCTTTTGTGAGATTTAAATGTTTGAACAACAGCTTCGAAACAATTTAAAGAGAACAAGTTCCTCTAGTGAGTCTTTCCACTCTCTCTGCCACTCCGACACGTCTGTGTCAAATACAAAGACGGCGACGGGGAAGTGGTAGCAGCAGCTGCAGCCTTTTGATGAGTCCTATGGATTACTGCCCCTCTTTCTGCACAGTTTCCATGTGTCTGATCACGATGCATCCCCAGCGTTTCCATGGAGAACGTGTGGTTGCCAAGGCCTGTGGCGGCTGAGCACAGAGGGTCATCGTTTATTTCTGTCGGTCAGTGGCGAGGGGACAGACTGGAGGGGGAGGAGGACGCTGTTGGGTCCTGAAGGGTTGCGAGGGTCCAGCTATCCTTTAAAAGTTTATTTGTCCAAAGGATCACCTGCAGGTCGTCGTCGGACGGTGTTAATGTACTGACTCTCCTCGCAAATCCCCGGGCCACTTAGTCTTATTCACACTTTAAACAAAGTGCAGCAGCAGTGCAGAGGAGAGAGGGGGGGAGGGAGGGAGCGAGCAGGACATGTGAGGAAGGCTACATATGGCCAACCGCAGCGTTGTTTATGCCGAGAGTTGTTACAGCTGAGGACCAGCCTCTGTCTCCTTCTCCTCCGTCCCTCATTAATCTAGCGGTACGCCTCTGGCCTGCTTCCCGTGCTGTTGGGAGAGCAGGTTTCGGAGTGACCACCCACCCTGAGGAAAAGCATTAGTCTGTCCTCTCCTCCATCACCTGCTATTGTTTATGCTCCCCGCTTCATTTTTTTCACCATCGCTCGGCAGCTATAAAATAATAAGGGGGATATTTTAATTTGGGTTTCCAACCTTTCAGATTGATGGTGGCCCCGAGGGGTCATTTTCTTCTTTATTTCCCACATAAATGAGATTTTTTTCCCCCTCCTTTTGTTGCTAGTATTTCATTCTCCAACCTTTCCTGTTGTTCTCCTTTCTGGTTAATCCTTTCAGTTTGTGGTTCTTTTCCTCTCTCGCTGCTCTGCCTGCCACTTCTATTTAGGGAGACTTCTAGTGCACATGTGCAATTACGTAGCTCATATTCAGCCAGAGCTCCTTCCATCACTGAGAAAGAAAAGGTTGACTAGCGCACACACACACACACACACACACACACACACACACACACACACACACACACACACACACACACACACACACACACACACGTGTCTCCCATCCTTCTCCTTTATGCATGAGTGAAGTCTGGGAGTCTCTTTGGCAGTCTGAAACATTCGGTTGTCTAGAAACCTCTTGACTGGGCCGTACCGTACCAATATGTCTGTCGGCTATACCTCTCATTGGCTTCTGCGAAACCATAAAATATTCATGTTCTCTTTTCTTCCCCCTTCTGCATTTTTGAATCAATTATTTTGCAGAAAGGAAATGTCAGGCCTCCACATGGCTTAGTTGCACTGGAGAGAGGAGGATGCTTTATGTGAGGTGGGTTTGCAGACGGGTGGGACCCATTAGCCTTTGTTCTGTTGGGTCGGTCCTGGACCCTCATATGGGTCTAACATATTCTACTTTCTTTTTGGCCCTCCTGATATCACGGCTTCACACTCCAGGCCCTGAGGTTTCCTTTAATTTATCCCAGTGGCTCTCAGGCCATCGCCCTCCCATCTTTCACCCTCTCCTCCTCCTCACCCTTCAGTCCCTCAGCTGCATCACATTCTGAAGGTCATCATCAGGAGGCAGGCATCTCTGCTGTGAATTGGCGAGACTCTGTGTGTTTTGTCACCTTCCAGTCTGCTCCCAAGTCATGTCAGCAGGGTCATTAGAGCCACAGACGAGCTTATTGTGTCCCAGCGGAGGTCAGTCTCAGAAAGCTCATCTCCAACATGATTACTTATTAACCAAAGGTAAATAAAACATAGACATTTCTGGGGAGAGTAAGAGCCAAAGCAGGGGGCTAACAAGATCTTTTCAAGATGTAAGATGTGACACAATTGCACACTTTGTTTTTATTGTCTATAATTAATTATGTACAGAGAGATGATTGATTTTTAAAGAAAAGCTCAAGTTAGTGTTAATGCAGCAGTAAAATAAGGATCTGGTGTATTTAAGTGCTTCTTGTGGCACATCTACTCTGATCTCGATGAGGTTGTACAGTAAGCTATCAATCAGCCTCCTTTAGAGGCTGCGGGGTGATAAAACTAGATGAATACACACACTATGCCATAGCAGGAGATCTATAAGTCACATTTTATAGTTACATTAATGCATAAACTAATTAAAATCTGAATAAATTATATTTGCTTAGAATGATAAATTGTACAGCAGTAGGACAAATACTGATGGATGTTTTTCAGCTGTAGTGTATCATCTGGATGAAATAAGCTGGAGGAACATATCAACATCTGCAAAGCAGAAATAATAACAGATTATAGGATCTCCTGTAGTGCTTTAAAGTCGCGTGGTAGCACAGTTGGTAGCACTGTTGCTTCCCAACAGAAAGGTTGCCAGTTTGAATCTCGGCCTGCATAATGGGTTTGTTTTCTCTGGGTCCTCCAGTTTCCTTCCACAGACCAAAAACTTGCATGTCGGGTCGATTGGTAACTGTAAATTGTCCCTAGGTGTGTGTGAGTGTGTGACAGGTTGTTTGTCTCTGTTCTCACCTGTCCATGGTGTCCTTCCATCCCAGTGGCTGCTGTAGACGGGCCAGCCCCTCATGATCCTAATGAGCAGTTCAGATATTGTGTGCGTGCGCGCGTGTGTGTGCGTGAGAGAGAGAGGTTATTTGCTCTGTTCTACTGTAGCCGTATCACATTGACATGATTTGGACGAAAACATTTAGAAATGTGTTGTGTCTATTGATGCACGGGGTATTTCGATGTTAAAGCTGCTGCTCTGGCTGATAACAGATGTTTAACACACACATTGCTTCCCTGCTTCAATGAAACACCCCCACAATCCGACGCTGCATCTCTATCACATGGCCAACCCCCTCCCCCTCTTGAAACACACACACACAAACCGTAACAAGGTGGTGATAAACATGTTAATACCGGACCAGTTTTACTTATTGGCATCAGCCCCAGTTATCTCTTATGAATGTGGTTTCACAGGTACATCAAATACATTCACATTCCACTCAGTGCTGTGTTAAAGTTGTCTGTCCTGTCTTGCCTTCTGCCTCAGCGTTTCTAGCAGGAGTCACTTCCTGTGGCTAATCATACTTTGATATGCCGTGGCATGAACCCCGGCTCCCTCAGAAATGAACAAACAAGGGACCTGGGGGGATCTGAGAGCGACCGGGGCTGTTGGTTTTTGTTTGCTCCACCACGATACATTCTCTGAACACCCACTGTTTTTTCACGGCCTCACTTCACATTAGACTCCGCATCCCTGCGAGGGGGAGAGAAGTTGGACACGACTCAGAGAAAAAGACGAGCAATTTCTGCCACTGCACTTGCAGGGAGATTTAAAGCATCCTCCTAATCTTAGCTGGAAGGATGAAGGAGGGAAGAGAGAAATGCCAGAGTGATGGTTCTGATTACATTACAGGGATACTGTGTGAGCACCGATTTGTATAATTATTTTTTCTCTCCATGTCGCACTGTGCCTACATGAGTCATTACTTTAGCGATCAAAGGATTGTGTTTAAGCCCAACGTGTCATGGCCACTCTTGTATTTTATGTTGCTCACCTCTAATTAAACTTTGGTTTTTACAGCATAACTAATAAACTCTCCGATTGCTTTATTCCATCTGATTTAAGTCCATTTGTGTTAGTGCTGATGAGTTTGGTGGTCAGTGTTTAAGGCCTTTGAGTTGAGAAGGATGAGGCTATAATGAGATACCTAGGGCTTTATAAAGCGAAGTGTACACCGCAATAGCTCACCAGCTTAATGGTCAGAGGATTTCTATGCAAAGGTAATGATGCCTGCTTTCATTCCTCTTTCCAGCTCTCCAAATGGAGTAAAGATGTTTTTCTAAGAGTGAGGTTCGCACTATTCTCCTGCTGCATCCTGGTCCGTTCACACTTGGCTTGATGGGGATGGACTAAAAGGCGGAGATATTGTTTCAGGTGTGCAGAGTATAGAAATGTGTAGTAAGTGTGTTTTTTTCCAAAGCGTAGAGGCTCATTGTTTTCCAGGTCTGTCTGTCACTGTTCTCCACGCCTCTGCTCCTGGATTGCTTCCCTTCCATCAGTTTGTTTTTTGGACGCGGTGCAGGGAAGGGTTTAGGGAAAGGTACCCGTGGGTGATGGCTTCACATGTGTGCAGTCACACTGGTTCCACTGGACTGATTTACCAATTAGTTTGCCTTACAGCTTTGTCGCTCATATTTCTGCTGCTGAATGTGGAGGCTGCATAAGCAGAGATTTTTCTTGTGTGTGTGCGTGTGCGCGTGTGTGTGTGTGTAACTGGCAGCTCTTACACTGAACAGCTGAATGCAAAGCTACATTAAAGTGAACTTGTTTGTGTGCATCTCCCACAACAACGAGATGCAGTCTGCTGTTTGTTCTGTAAGAGCTGTTGGATTTGAAGTTCTTCTCCTTTCTGTTTGGCCAGATTCCGTCCTGAGGGAGTAATGTCGCTGTGATGACCTGCGTGGCCTCGGCTTCCTCCAGGGATTGTTCTCCACCCAGAAGAGTGGGGCGAACTCTAGCCAGGATATGGTTGGCAGATTTACGTGATGGACAGGTGATGGAGTCGTCCATCATCTTCGCTCCCCAGTGACTCACCCTGTCTGCCCTTGCTCACAGCCACGAGTGTGTACCAGCGGACCAAGGCCCCCCATTTCTCTGCCATGGTGACATAAGCGCTACTGCAGCATGAGGGAGCGCCAACGTCACCGACTTGCTTTTGTATTCAGTGGCTGCAGCAGCTGCTACGTAGAGGAAATTTAGCTCTGTAGCCACAGTGAGTTTGTTGTAACTTACTCGTGTTTTATTTTTCTCCCACACTGAGAGAGAGACTGCCCCTTTGGTGTGTCACTGGGCCGGTGGGGCGGAGCAGTGTGGCGAGAGACGATGCTGGGATGCGTGGCACGCCTCCGCCGGCTGGTCCGCCTCCTTCCTCTGCAGACCTCCCTGCTCCTCCTCTTCCTCTTCTGCGCCGTCAGCGTCTTCATCTTCTCCTACTTCCTCTATGGCGTCAAACGGGAGCCGGAGCCACCACCAGGTATCTCGCCCGGACCTGATGGAATTCCCCCAGACTTGGTCACCCCGTCGCGGCTGTTGGCCGTGCGAACTGTCCCAGGGGTTTCCAGGTTGGATCTCGGAGGGACCAAGACAGATCCTGTGGTTCTGGTGTTTGTGGAAAGCCAATATTCTCAACTGGGGCAGGAGATTGTGGCCATCTTGGAGTCTGGCCGGTTCAAGTACCGGACCGAGATCTCTCCTGGGAAGGGGGACATGCCCACCCTGACGGACAAGGAGCGAGGTCGCTTTGCACTTGTGATTTATGAGAACATTCTGAAGTATGTTAACTTGGACGCCTGGAACCGGGAGCTGCTAGATAAATACTGTGTGGAGTACGGAGTGGGCATCATCGGCTTCTTCAAGGTTAGAACAACACACACTCCCTGTACCTCCCTCCCCTCCTCTCACTCACACCTTCTGCCCTGTCCATCTGGCTTCACCATCCCTAAAGAGATGGGATTTACAGAGCTGGTGAGACCTGCCTGGTTCTATATCACTCACTTTCCTTGTACTGACTTATGTTTCTTTTCTGTTCTTTTTATGTCTTTGTTTTTTTTTTTCTTCTGTTCAACAATCTGGCCTCCTTAACTCTACTCCGCTTTAATTCCCATTTCTTGTTTTCTCTGCCTCGTCTTTTTATTCTCTAGCTTTTTTTAGTCCTCCACTTTATATCCCTTACTCTGCTGCTCTACTCCCTCTGTTCGTCCCCCGGGGGCCTGGGGCTGCCTAAGGCCAGTTTTCAGGTCTTATGATTTTAATCACCCTATCTGAGCCACGGAGAGAATATAGAAGGGCCTGGATGGTGCTGTAGAGGTGCTGGGTGGTGCGGATGAAGGTTGGCCTGGTGGGATTCACTGCCCGTCAGGAGGAGAGCAGAGGTTGTGCATCAGGGTGGTTCTGAAACGCAACAGAGCTGTGGGGCTTTCACACTGTTGGCAGCACAACATCCTCAGAACTAATTATAATATTATGATTAATAGAAATTAGAAAATACTCCCTATCCAGCAGCCGTTCCACCATATATTCTGTACTGACTGAAGCTATTGAAGTATTTGATATAGTACCATCTAGAGCTCTAGAACCCCCCAAGGCGCTTTACAGCACAATAGCAGCATTCTCTGCAGGGAGCTGGGATTGATCCTACAACCCGCTCTACCGACTGAGTCACTGCTGCCTAGTATATCTGTAGCAGTCAAACATCTTTAGGAAATTGTTCTGAGGATCATGGCCTCAATGGTAGATCAATATGTGGCCTGGACTAAAGCTGGGCAATATGGAGACATTCCCATCACGGTGTTATTTTCATAGTAGTTGACATAAAACAAATCACCACTTTGAAAATCATTAATGCTTTTGGTGAGATTTGAAGATATCAGGTTATTTTGATTTTTGAAGACCTATTTTCAAAAGTTTACATAATATAACATTATTACAAACGTTATTATACAAACATACAACTGTTTTGATACATAAATGAGGTTTAAGACATTCAAGCGTTGGAGAAGAACGGAACGAAAATGGAAATGTTCCTCTGTTGATGTGAGATTATTTAATAAACATTGAAATATAAATTCTCAAATCTCTCTGCTTGTTTTAAAGAGCAAGTCACCCCCAAATCAACCTTTTTTTATGATAAACTATATAAATGCATGTCTAATCGTGCTGCAGACACGTGTAGTCAGTATTTTTGCATTTGAGTGGTTTTTAGTTAAAATTGTAATTTTCTGCCTAAAACTGTCAGTGTTGTGTCGTTGCCAGGTAAAAACTCTGCACTGCATTAGAATTTAAATCTGCCATCACTATTGGCTAAGAGGTACCCTGGAATGTTAGCTGGTACCATATGATGTCACAATGTCGTTGTGAGCCTTTGTGTGTGTGTGTATTTGTTAGCGGCTCCGCCCTCTCAGTCTGCTAGGCAACAGCATTTGTTGCGTTTTTTCAAACAGGAAGTGAGAGTTGAGTAAGAATCCGGTAGGGGGTGACTTGCTCTTTAAGAACAAGCCATAGAAAATAATGATCAAAAAACAAAACCAGTGTTTTAAATCGGTGAAAATGTAATAAGCTTTCAAAGAAAACATTTAAAACAATAAACTAGACATTGTCTATGCTCAAGAAAAGGATTTCACTTCGTTATGTTTTCAGTTTCCTGTGATAAGTCATGATGCTGGTGAGGGCTCAGGTTTGGGATCATCAAGTCTTACACCTGCTGCTCCAACAGGTGGAGCTGGTTCAGCTGCTAAAGCAGATCGGTGGATTTACCCGGCTTTGTCAGACCTGTGGCGCAGAAACGATGTTGACCATCCAGAATATGTCCCCACGACTGAAGTCTTCAGTTACTTATTGTGAATGATGTTATTTTCCATGTCCTCTTGGCTTTTTCTTTCTTCAGTCATGTCCTACCAGTTACCTGCAGCAAGAGGCTAAAGCTACACAAACATTAGCCGTTAGCACATCAGGCTGGCTGCCACGTGTGCCATGAGTAACATTTAGTGTGGTTGGCTGTTCATCTGTTCTTTATAGTTTCTATCAACCTGTTCTTGTGTCTGTCGAGGAAAGGTTTTGTTTATATTAGGGTTGTCACGGTGTGAAAATTTAACCTCACGGTTGTTGTGACCAAAATGATCACGGTTTTAGGTATTGTCGCGATATTTTTTTAAACATGTTAAATTTTCAGGAAACTAAATAAACCCTGTATATCAGGAAAATATTGTCCTCAGTTTGTGTCTAAATTTTGCCTACAATTTGTTATTTTGTAATTATGTTGTTTATTTGTTTACATTTTCCCCCTGTAGTCTTTAAAATACCAATATTTGCCCATAACTTCTTATTTTATGTCTGTTTGATGTCATCATTTAAAAAATATTAGATCAGATGATACTCGGTATTCAAGTAGCCTTCTAATCAGATACTTTTTTTTACCATTACTTGAGTAATAAACCGTATATCAGGAAAATATTGTCCTCGGTTTGTGTCCTTCCGGTGAGCTTTGCAGATTTGGGAAAATGTCATCAGGCAGTAATCATTGTTAAATTCATAATTATTCTCGGAGAGAGACCAACTCTTATCTGCCCCTGGGAGCCCCGTAATGCATAGCGTCATTTCAACATGGCGGTGTCCGCGACACGGTTTATATGCAGGTAGCGGCGCTGCGGCTGCTTTATATAGCGACTCGTTGCATTCTCCCTCAACCCAAATCCTCGGATCACACATTTTAGCTAAAACGCTAGCGTTAGCTTGCCTTGCGTTGACTGTAGAGTTGTGGGTGATGGTCACGCAGATGTGTCATGAGATTTGAAGCGTTGCTGCCTTTCACAGACACTTTTTTCTGCACGTGCTGCAAACAGGATAGCCGTCTTCTATAAACTGTCCCTCGGCATTCTTCAAATATCCAAAAGATGCCCGTACTTCCGACTTTGTCTTCTTTGAGGGATAATAAATGTCCTGAGCGCTGCCGTCTCCTCCTTTGGCCATTATTTCAGCTTTAGCTTCAAGAAAGTTTTGATTGTAAACAACAAAGTGCGCATGTGCCACCGGCAACTTCAGCAGATGATACGGTGGCTGGTAAGGGTCACCGCACCTACACCGCAGCCACGATAATCCACCGAGATAATTTTTTTTAAAAAAACAAGACGGTTATTATTATTGTCAACTTTTTTACCGGGGTTTACCGCTACACCGGTTACCGTGACAACCCTAGTTTATATTGCTATCTTTTATCTTCCAGCTCTAGCCTGAGCAAATAGACATTTTAATTGTCCCAGTTCAAATTCAAATAGTGGGGTGGGGGTGGGTGGGTTAGAGAGCACATTGAATGAGACGGTTCCACGGCCTTCACCGGTCACAGTCCCGCCCAGGCTGGGATAGGGAGAAAGAGTTTCCATAGCGACAACAGCATTCCACATTTCTTCTGAGGGAAGTTTTCATTTTAGCCTAACAGGCTTCAAGTGTACCAGATTCAGATAGCAAGAATTATTTTGGGTACAGGCAGAGATAATTTCCTCTCTGCCTTAAGCCGGGCGTACACTGTGCGACTTTTTCACTTGCAGCGTTCAGCTTCAGCTCAAACTGTACGACTTCCTCGCAGAGCAGATCTCACGAGTCATGTGCTCACACTGTACGACCCAGTTCTCGGATGCGACCTGACTGCTCACACTGTACATCTGGTAGCAACACGTCGGCCCTAAACATGTGCTAAAAATAGCAGTTTTTACTCAACACGTCAGACTTTTTTGTCTTGCCTGTTGTCCTTCGGGAGTGCTGCAGGAGGACACACAGGGATTTATGGGGGTTGGATGAGGAAAACGAAATAAAGAAAGTGAATCTGTGTTTTGTGATCAGTTTAATTTGACATGAACACGACAAACACACTTTCTTGACAATCTTTGTAAGTAAAAAAAACGTGTAGAAACAAAAACGAACAGCGTGTGTTATTAGGAAAATAGCGAGCGACCGGCGTTGATGCAGGATTACGCGCGCATGCGCCGTGAGCGGTTCTTATACTTCTTTGGATCGTAGCTGCTCGCAGCGCCGCTTCAACAGTGCGATACCCTCACGAGGGACGAGCGCAATATTAAACACACCAGAAGTCCGTGCGACCTCACGACTGCTGATCGGCGGCTGGTCACGTGGTGTTAATCGCCTCTCGTAACCCCCTGTACACTACACGACCGCTCGGCGCAAAACTCGCCCCGATGTCGTGGCTTCTCGCACGACTGGAAAATCGACTCAAAAAAGTGAAAAAGTCGCACAGTGTACGCCCGGCTTTAGAGTTCTGTTGGTCTTCAACCCCTCCAGGTCCAAAAATGGCGTTATCAATCTATTCCTATCTGTGCTGAGCAGTCAACTCTCTCCTTGATCGAATCAACCTTCTGTGCCAGAGCCTGAATCTCAGCCAAAGTTTCAAGCTTACAACTTATCTCGACAACTATGGATTAGGCCAATATTCCTCGAAAGCTCTTTAATTAGTTAAAGTGATTTGAACGAGTGAGCACGTACATGTGTTGATTGCCCGGGGGGGGGGGGGGGGGGGGGGGTGATGTCAGCTGTCTACATTGTTCTTGTCTTGAAATGTGGCCAGTGATCACACAGACAAAGTTTGATATAGATCTGATCATGCACATGGGAGTCAAGTAATGTGATGGCGAAAGGTCAAAGTTTGAGGCTTAGCCATGCCCACACCTTTCAAGTTATTTAAGTCCGACGGTTGAATTTTTTCCCCCTATGTCAGAAGTTGAAGGCGATTGATGAAAAAGGCGACGGGGCATCACTCTCAGGGGTGGACATTAACTTCAAAACCAACCGGCCAGCCGGGCCGGTAACTCTGAATATTTACCGGCCCCGCCAAGAATCTACTGGCCCCACTG